GCATTTTGACCCGTAAAGCCCATAAAATCCTCTTGTTTTTCGCATCCGGTGGTGAAGCATCGGAGGACGTGATCGTTGCGAACAATTCGCGACGCTTGTGTCGCGAAAAATTTCTCGCTTCCCATTATCGGCGATTTTTCGTTTTCCAACCGATATTGTTTACTAAGGTTTATCAAGTGTTGGGCAAACGAGATGCCTTGCGCAGGAAATGTTGATAGGCCGCTATTGATGTCCGTGTTTACACTACATTCAAATGAATCTGTCATATGAGACACACCATCGTGTTCATTCAAGGTCGCCGTTTGCGCGTCCATTTTGATTGCTCTTTTCTCATCTTTGTTCTTATTCGAATCAGGATCAATTGGAGAAGAAGCCTTGGATAAATCTTGAGACTTCACTTGAGACTTGGGTACGCTCACTTCGTTGCTTTGCGTTAGGATTTTGCGTACGTCTTCTGAGGCCGTTTTCAATTCCTTCCCATATTTCGTTGCATCACTCGCTACACGCTCGATATTCCGTGACAAACCATCTTGAATTTCATCCTGACGACAAACGCTATCGCCTCTTACGTTTTTACTGCGTCTGGCATCATCGGAGTCTTCTTTCCCATACGGTGAGCTTCTACATAGCTCCTCGTCGTTTTTCGAGTTAAACTTGATAACACCATGGTAGGATATGGGTTTCATTGCCACTTGATTTGTTGGGCTACTGTTCCCAACCGCGGACGCTGATGAATCGCGAAGGCTATTTTTGTTATGATGTCCTTCTCTCCTTGATATAAGGTCCGTTTTCGGGCTGGTAGTTCTGTTCTTTTGCGTCGATGTCCTATTCATGAATGCTGCTTTGTTTAGCGAGTTCATCGACGATAAACCATCGGAAATCATCACCGAGTCAGCCGTAGCTCGGGCTAGTGCTAGGTCTACGGGTCGCACTCCTCTGTCAACATTTAAAAGCGCTTTGTCGATCTTGGGTAGGCTGCGTCTAGAGTCACGTAATTCGCCCGGTTTTTTCGCCTGTCCATTTTGCGATTTCTGTTGTCTACCGGCACTGGTTTTTGCGCAGTGCGACGCGCCGGTGAGAACATCTTTGTCGAAGTTTAACGGAGAGGAAATGCATATCTGCGACTCGTTGCCCAATTGAACAGCAAATACGCCGAGATTACACAGCAGTTCGGTCTTGGTTAGCGCAAACTCACGAAGCTTCATGGCAGCCTCACGCGAAAGTTTGAAACTCACCCGAACGTTTTGATCAAAGTCGTTCATCGCGTAAAGCTATAATACAAAGTGCATTGAGTGACTCGCTTCTGTACCACGCGACGCGACTTGATGCAATGCGTCGTGCATGTAACCCTACTCCGCGCAAAACCCGAGACGTTTTCGCGCGTGATTTCCGTTATGACCAACACATCGCGTCCATATTTGGTAGCAATATGCTGACTGGTCATCGCTTTCTTTCTGCACGATGCGCTGCAAAAAATTCCAGAAATATGTAAACTTTGGAAACGGTCAATATCATATACGTCTCGCTGCCGCGATTTCTGAAATTGGCTCCATAATCCTGCCGTATGCGATCAAAATATCAAATTACATTACAAATCATTCGGTGATTTCAAATATCTGATCTGATAATATAATGTGTCATGTGAAAATAAACGAAAAGGGTATCTTAGAAAACTATTAAAGACACGTTCAAATAAACCCGTGCATTTGAACGGTTATATTCTAATCGGTAAGAACCTTAATCAGTTTGAATTTCTACACAAATGTGAATTCTAACCAAATTCAAAGCTCGCTAAACAAATAAGCCTTTATTTTTTACTACGGAACTGTAGCAACAATAAACAATGTAAAATTAATTGTCCTAACAATTACAACGATCCCTTCGACTAATTCTGTGTTAAATATACTTTAAAATGTTTGTGCAAAATATCAAGAAATTTGCAGCAAATTTTTGCGAATCTTTTTAAACATGCCTGCATGAATTCCACAGCAAATTATTCTCGCTACATTTTGGTGGAGTTGTTCAGAAATTGCTTCAGAAATTGCTTCAGAAATTGCTTCAGAAATTGCTAAATTTATGCACATCTTATTCAAAAGACATTCCTAGCCCATACTGGGGGGCTGCGTCAGGCGGAAAACAAAACACATACTAGATAAAACTGTAGCGAGGAATTGTCAAACGCGACTTTTGAAAATGAAGGAGATCCCTATTTTGCTGTTTTCGTTCGGCGTTTTTCTGTGGATGAATTCAAAGGGTGTAGAATCGAAGATTTGCGGCGCTTCAAACTGTACAATGAAATGTTGTCTTGGTTCTAATCATTATCCGTTGTGTCGTTCAAGTTGTGAGGGGATAATTTGCATGTACAACGAAGATTGTGATGGTGGATTTTGTTGTTCAAGTCAGTGTGTAAAAAACTCGTTGGCCTGTCAAAAATTGTTGAATATTTCGCCCAGCCAGGCAAAACAATCTTCAAGTGACGAGGAACACGAAGGTGGTAATTTTGCAACTTGGGAATTCGCTTTGATAGTCCTAGGCAGCGTAATCGCTGGCTTTCTATTGTGTATTTTCGTTGTTTGGGGATGCAGAACTCTCATCTCAAGGATTTGACGACCAACCGCAGTTCTACTGTGCTTGCAGGATATTTTCTTTACCTGATAATATTGACTATCAAAACACTCAAGTCTCTCGTTGTTGCATGACGTTGAAATTTGAAAATGATTCAGTTTAAGATTTATAAGTTGGCCGGTTAATACACATAGATTTAAAATAATACAAGCTGTATAGTAATAATGTTTGCCAGCCAAATACTGCGAACTGATAGCTAAACATTTAACGCATATACAAATGTATTTAAGTTTTACTTAGAACACGCAAAAATCTCGCTAAATATCAGCGAACTACGAGATTATATATCATGAATTGACTTTCGAGTTACTAGTTTTCATGTTATTTTTAAGCCACATTTGGCAAAATATTTCATGGTTAGAGCATGGATTGATGAGTGATGTATTCATGGTTAGACCAATCGCTGATAAATTATATGACATTGATTTTACTTGCATGGCTGCCTTTCTAACGTACAGCAGATTTGGCAACTCGTAGTGTTCACATACACAGTTTGAAATGGTGAATACCACACAGTTTTATCAGCGGGAGACGACCTTAAGAAAACTAACTGAATCTATTTATATACAGATTTTCATATTTTACTTTTGAGCCAACTTTCTCAAGTAGATGAATGCCTTCTACACCCATTTTGCTGGCAAAAAACAGGTGTTTCATCTTCTGGTAGAGATAGTTTTTTATAAAGAACAAATCAGTCATTATCCGACAGAAAGCCTTATATATATATGTATCTATCCAGTTTTAAAAGGCCGACCCAGGTAAATTAAGCAAAATTATTCAGACGTTCATCAGACAATGCAGGCGTCTTCACCATTTCAAAAGGCTCCTGCTGAACTAATACTCCTACGTTTTGCCACCTGGGCAGATAACAATTTGTGGTCGCCATTACTAATTAATCATGACCGCTAATTACATGCTTAAATGGTTTACCATGCGAAACGGGAGACCTTTTAAATTCATAATGAACTACACACAGTATATAGCTACATACTGATATACTTGCTATATATATAGATACTTCAACATTTCGAGTTTTTACATAAACTGTCGACCGATACAGAACCATGAACCGAATTTGAAAATATCCCAAAAAATTGACGAAAATTAGGATTTTTAGGACTGAAAATAGGTTAGGAAGTGACCAGGCAAATAGCAGTCCAGGTTTCATTTCCTGTTTTGTTTCAAAAAACTTTCTCCAGTTTCCTTCACTATTAGTTTAAATTCCTTTTTATAAAAGTAGAAATAATATACATATTGCATGATTTTACTGTTCTGTTCAAAAACTAAGGCTTACCCCAGTACCCCTTACCATTTTGGTCAATTTTGACGACTTTTTGAACTTTTCAAAAACTGTCTTAAAATGCTAAAAATGGCTTCCTAAGGCTAATATCTTTCATTTTAGAGCATTTTGGGACAAATTTTGAAAAGTTGAAAAAGTCGTCAAAATTGACCAAAATGGTAAGGCTTACCCCTTACCATTTTGGTCAATTTTGACGACTTTTTGAACTTTTCAAAAACTGTCTTAAAATGCTAAAAATGAATTCCTCAGGCTAATATCTTCCATTTTAGAGCATTTTGAAACAAATTTTGAAAAGTTGAAAAAATCGTCAAAATTGACCAAAATTGTAAGGCTTACCCCTTACCATTTTGGTCAATTTTGACGACTTTTTGAACTCTTCAAAAGCTGTCTTAAAATGCTAAAAATGGCTTCCTAAGACTAATATCTTTCATTTTAGAGCATTTTGAGACAGTTTTTGAAAAGTTGAAAAAGTCGTCAAAATTGACCAAAATGGTAAGGCTTACCCCTTACTAGCCTGCGTTGCCAGCCGGCTAAACACGGTTATATCCGTCTGCGCATTAGCGAACAAATTCATGTTCCAGTACCAGGAAATGAGTACTGACTCCTGATTGGCTCGCTTTTGTGATAGTTATAACATCGTTTCTGATTGGTTACTGAAGCAGTAAACAATATCAGCCTGCCCGCAGGCTTCAGGAAGAATAGAACCATATTGGTAAAAGACTGTAAAAGACTACTTATTCATGAATTATTCATGTGTATTATGTTCTCAAGATATAGTTAAACACACGGAAAGATATTTTATAGAAGGAAAAGGAAAATTCGATGTGAAAGAAGCGTTAAGAAATCTCCCTTTCACTGTCCCGGTGAAAAGTTCTGTGAAGTATATTTGTAAGCATTGTCTCGCGAAACTGAAAAAACGCAAAAGTTTGAAAGAACAGTTGTCTGAAATCGATAAGGCTATTCAAAATGCCTGCAAGATCGACGAGACACCGTCCGAAACGAAGAGACGAAGTGAGGATAACAAATCTCAAGTTGCTGGCGAAGCCTCCCCGACGAAACGACAGCGTTATTTGTGCCCACAACATCCACACCAGTAAAAGAAAACACGCCAAATTCTGGGTTAAATACTCGTCTCGAAATTCCTGCCTCGCCCGTAGTTTTTCAGCAAAAAAAGGGAGAAGTCGATGTGACTGTAAAGATAAACTGGCCGTCCAAAACTGCTGAGCGAAAACTCCCCTCTGAACTTGAGTCACTTGGCAAGATGCTGTTAAGGGGTACATACAAACAAATAGCTAATGCGGCGTGGAAAAGCTCTGATCTAAAAAGAGAACTTAAGCAACTAATGGTGAAAGAAATTGAAAATGAGGTGACTAAACTTTGTTCAAAGAAAACCCCATCCTGTCTCAGAGCAACAGACAAGCAAAGCATGCTGTCATTTTCCATGGAAAATCTGTCAAATGAGATAAAAGACAGAGCACCACTTTTTCATTCTGTTCTTGCAGCAGCAAGTATTAACAAGAGAAGTAAATCAACCAAAGATAAACCAGATTTTGCAGCTGTAGCAATGGCAGCTTCGATATGTTTAAAGAACAGGTCAAGATATATGACTGCCGTTCAGCTTTTGTTGACCATATTTCTTTATCATTCTAACTGGATGGTAAGTGCTAACAAATAATGCAACTCACACAAAGTATCCTTTGTTGCTCTATCAAAGCTCTATAGCTTTACCGGATGTAAGGGTGGGGGAGGGGCGGGAGTTGATTTTGGTCACATGTTTTTTCTCATCATAATGTGCATAGGATGGTTAATTATTAACCTCAATGCATTAAAAGGGATATTTCAAGTAATATCTAATTTATGAATTTTAGAATACACTTGCCCGGCTATGTCCACTGAAAATCACAACCAGTCATACTTATGTATATAAGAAGTTGGACGAGTTTGGAAAAGATTACAACAAGGACATCTTACATTCGGTGAAAGAACAAGGGGAGTTTATGGAACAACGAGCAGCCCAAATAAACCCAGATGCACATGGTCAACAGAATAACAGGTGTTTTACTCAAGATGTTGGAAGAAAACTTGTGTTTGACAACATTGACTATCACCAAGAGGTTCACCGTATGACAGAGGACCACCAAAATGTAGACAAGCACTGTGTAACAGTAATGGCAATTGAAAACCGTGTTTCAGGGAATCACCTTGGTGAAGAGCAGCCTAAGGATGGGATTCTTAAACTTCAGAATGGTAAATGTCTCCCATCTTGTCGTGATAATCAAAAGCAACGTGATAACTATATTGCTCTGGTGGGACGTGTTATTTCTACCAATATAAAAAGTTTGGAATTCTTATCAGATGCTGCTGTTCATCATATTCCCCATATGTACACAAAAGAAATGTGTATGAAATCAGATTTGGTAAGTTATGGAAAAACACACTTGCAAGTTATTATTAATTTTATTGAATATATGATAAATTATGACGAAGCAATTGTAGTCGAATACCTTGTCATTTTTGAAGCTGTGTTTGAAGAAAGCGGCTACTGGCTATGAGTACTGATATTTAATAATCATTAAATACCTGGCTACATGGCTACACCTGGTTTAATTAAGATATTCGAGAACGAGGCATTACAATGATGATGTAATGCTAAATGTAGGTCTATTTTTTTCACTGGCTACTGGCTACAGGTTTAATTAAGCTGATAGTTGATATATCTTAATTAAACCTGTAGCCAGTAGCCAGTGAAATAATAATTTATAGCTGCTATACATTTAACATTACATCATTATTGTATAACCTCGTTCTCAAATATCTTAATTAAACCTGTAGCCAGTAGCCAGCATTGTGGTGGCTATGAGTAGCGGCTGTGACTAGTGAAAGGGTATTCTGCAGTTTAGCCAATTATGATAAATATGAAAATAGATAAATTATCTGCCCTAAACAGAAGCCAACACCATGAGACTGCTTATATTTACTTATTTTTTTATAGACATTTCTTGGTATGTTGCATGATAATGAAAATGACTCAGACGGAATACTAGCTATCCTGAAGTCTCTTCAAAAGTATGTTCCATGTTATGGTGAAGACAAAGATAAGCAATATGCTGGACAAGGGGTCGTTGGTGACCAATTAAGTGTTGAGCGTGGGGTGAATGGGCTTAGCTCAGTTGCAAATGGATTTACGCCAGATGAAAGAATTGAAGGCTTGCACTTTGAGATTGCAGATTGGCATGCTGGGAACAAATTTTTGGAGGTAAACGACTTTGTGGTAAAATTAAAGCATATAATACACTTTCATTGAGTCCAGAACAAGGTTACCATAATTGTATTTAAATGAAAATATCTTACATCATTACAGTGTACCATGCCAAATTCTGTTTTATTAGGTGGCTTTCTCTCAACTATACAATGTTGCATCAGCTGGCGATAAGTGTACCATGTTTAGCGACAGAAACCTGGTGAATAGGCGAAATGTAAAGCAAGATGTGACTGCAGCAGCCAATGCTTGTAGAAGATTTTTTGTCATTGAAGTGGAAGCTCGAATCATTGCTGCAGCTATGCATCTTTTAGGAATGCAGAAGATTGATGAAGAGCCAAGCAAACACAAGTTTTCAACAACTGCAAGTGCAAGTTTACAAGAGAGAAAATCCTACTTGAATAACATTTCATCACTTGTCATTGATGAATTTGTTATTGTCAAAGGCGTAACAGTGATGTTGAAGAGTCAGTTAATTCAATCCAAGAAGATCTACAAACAGATATCCATGGCAGGTTCCCTTGCCGGGCTCCTGGCTGTACAAAAACATTTGCTCATGCTGGAAAGTTAAGAACAGACCACGAAGCTAAACACAATCCACCTGTGTCATTGCGAGACTCTAATGCACACATTCTAGAAGCAACATCTGTTCATGAGGATGATGATATGTTGTCATACCAGAGATCACTTCTTGACTATGGCATGCTCGTGTTGAACTTTTTCGACGCAATATCAGAAGGGGATGGTCAGAGAGTTGTTCGGTGTTGGAAATTTTTTTTAATGTACTTAAAACATCAAGGAGGGTCAGCCAAGTATTCACTGGAAGCACTGTATTTGATGTTTCAGATAAATGCTTTATTGAGCCCCAAGTGTACACATCATCTAATTTGGAACCGCTTTACCAAAAGCAAACCTGGAATCAGTGGAAATATTCCATTAGACCTGCAGTTGGAATTTTTAAACAAGTTGGTAAAAGAGGCTATAAAAAATCAAGGAGCAGGTGCGTCAGATAAATCCCTGGATAGAATCTGTCACTCACTGGGGGTAACCTCATCTTTGATGAAGACTTTTGACACCAACTTATCAGTTTTCAAAAGAGCAGGAAGACATGTTAAGACCTCAACTCAAGGGGATCTAAAGAAAATTGTCAATGAATTAGTAGTTAATAATGCCTTCACATGCACACCAGGACGGAGATACAGTGTTTTTAAACATGTTAAGCCAAGTTTGTTGAGTGGCTTTGATATGCATAAAATGTTTACATGGATAAACAATCATAAAAAATTCATGATTTTGAACAGAAAAGCGAGATGAAGTGTAAATAATGTTTAGTTTTTAATTAATGGGTTTGGGATCTTAAAAAATTGCTACTTGTATATTTTGTAAATAATTATATTCATATTGTTAATAACTGTTCAAAATACATATATTGTCAACAAAGTCATATTGAAATATTATTGTAAGAAGTATCAGTGTCCATGGTGGATTCAATAGCAACCAGATCTTGGCTATTTACAATTTCCAAACATGATGAATCATTTCTCAAAGCCTCCCATTCTGTAGTAAGAGTTTCCTCTTCATCTGAGTCTTCTAAATCATCAGGTATTTCTATTTCCATGTCACCAAAAATATCCTGTATAATTCTTAAGATTTCAACAGCATACTTATGTCGCCATATTTCAACAGATTTTAAAACATCATTCAAAGTAAATAGAGAATGGCAACTACCAAGTACTTGATTAATATGAAACATGTTAAATTCTAGTAACATATTTGGACATGTCACCATATTTTTAATGTTGTATTCTTTTAGCATCTCTCTCTGATAATTGATAAGCTTTTCCTTCAATAGTTTTTTGTCTTTCTTGGTCACAACTCTTGTCAACTTGCTTTTCTCCTGTTCATCAGTAGTATATAAATCAAGGTCACATTCTTGCTCAAGTTGTGGACTCCAAAGTTTCCTGCAAGAGGATGTGCCACACAAACTTTGCTGGCAGTTACTACAGCAGTTGTGCAGAAACTGAAAGTTTTTGTGGTCCACCTTGTACCCAAAATGAATCAATAGCTTTTCCCTCAAACATCCTTCGTGATTTAAATAATGTTTCATGTCATTATCACAGTGCACAGAGAGTAGGCCATTATATAGAAGCATGCATGTGCTTTGAACTCCATCTCGACCAGCTCGACCACACTCTTGAATATACGATTCTATACTTTTGGAGGGTCCAAAATGCACAACTCTTCTTACCTGCTTACAATTGACACCCATCCCAAAAGCAATTGATGATATTAGTACACGAATCACACCATTTTCATTTGACATTTGCTCAGAAACATGTTCCTTTACAGATTCTGGTGTGCCTGCATGGTACATGTCAACAACACGATTTCGATAATCTTTGCTACCATGATAAAGTTTTTCTTCAAGACACACTTCAAACAAACGAAATAGTATTGCACATTGTTTCCGTGTTTGACAGTATATTATAGTTCTGGGTGTATTTATTCCAAGCCTTTGACATTCTCCAAGAAGTGCACCAAATTGCTTTTCAATGGGGTAATTTTTATCAAGGTATTGTCTCGTGTATGAAATGTTCACTTTATCTGGACTCTGCTGTATCATAATTGTATCGCGAGATATATTAACTGCATCCAAAATTTTCTCTGTAGTAAGTTTTGATGCAGTTGCTGTTAGAACCATTATTTTGCATTCTTGTGGAATAAGTGATCTGAGTTCACCTAGACAACCATACCACTTTCGGAATGGGCATTTGCTTGAATTTGACAAACCCCTAAAATGGAAAAGGAGTGATGATAAATATTCATAAATACATAGTTGAATCAGCCACCCCACACACACACACACACACACACACACACACACACACACTTTTAACGACTTGTCCGTAATCTCAAATAGTATTCTTTCATATTGAGCAGAAATGGTATACTATCTGTTGTAATCAATAAACATTGTTATTTGTCAAATTTAATAGGTCTTACTATGCCAAATAATTTTATGACACATGGGGTGACTGGTAAGATCGTCCTCGCATGCATTAGCTAACGTGTAGCTATGTAAGACTATGTGCCTGGCGAGTAATAAATAGATATTTTTAATATAATTATAAAGCATTCACATAACGTACCACTCAGTAATACAATGAGCCTCGTCGATAGCTACACCAACCAGTTTTTCACGGAAATCAGCATCGTTGAAAATCTCCCTCCAAGTACTCGTTGACAACAAACATTCAGGAGAGCAATACACGATCAAAAAATACCCGTTTTTGACCTGTTGTATTGTTTCTTCATCGTATTCATCCCCAATAGCAATGGCAGGAACACCAAAAGTTGCTAAGTATTCTACTTGATCTTTCATTAGAGCTTTCAATGGCGAAATAACAACAACTACACTAGTGCCACGAGGCCTCGAGTACAGAATATCATACACGATAGGAATGCATTGAAATATTAACGATTTACCATACCCCGTCGGCAAATTTACAAAGACATTTCCCTTTTCAATAAAAGCTTTAACTGCAGATACTTGTTCTGGTAGGAGGTGATCGATGAGGAATTGTTTCTGAACAGATAAAAAGGCTTCTTTCCAAGCACGCTCCGGAAATGTAGCCATTTTGATTTTTAGGGTGCCAGCCCGTGTAATTTCCATAACCAATCAGAAACGATGTTATAACTATCACAAAAGCGAGCCAATCAGGAGTCAGTACTCATTTCCTGGTACTGGAACATGAATTTGTTCGCTAATGCGCAGACGGATATAACCGTGTTTAGCCGGCTGGCAACGCAGGCTAACCCCTTACCATTTTGGTCAATTTTGACGACTTTTTGAACTTTTCAAAAACTGTCTTAAAATGCTAAAAATGGCTTCCTAAGGCTAATATCTTTCATTTTAGAGCATTTTGGGACAAATTTTGAAAAGTTGAAAAAGTCGTCAAAATTGACCAAAATGGTAAGGCTTACCCCTTACCATTTTGGTCAATTTTGACGACTTTTTGAACTTTTCAAAAACTGTCTTAAAATGCTAAAAATGGCTTCCTAAGGCTAATATCTTTCATTTTAGAGCATTTTGAGACAAATTTTGAAAAGTTGAAAAAGTCGTCAAAATTGACCAAAATTGTAAGGCTTACCCCTTACCATTTTGGTCAATTTTGACGACTTTTTGAACTTTTCAAAAACTGTCTTAAAATGCTCTAAAATGAAAGATATTAGTCTTAGGAAGCCATTTTTAGCATTTTAAGACAGTTTTTGAAAAGTTCAAAAAGTCGTCAAAATTGACCAAAAAGGTAAGAGGTAAGCCTTACCATTTGGTCAATTTTGACGACTTTTTCATATTTTCAAAAACTATTTCAAAATGCTCTAAAATGTAAGATATTAGTCTCAGGAAGCCATTTTTAGCATTTTAAGACAGTTTTTGAAAAGTTCAAAAAGTCGTCAAAATTGACCAAAATGGTAAGGGGTAAGCCTTACCATTTTGGTCAATTTTGACGACTTGTTCAACTTTTCAAAAAGTGTCTCAAAACGCTCTGAAATGAAAGATATTAGTCTTAGGAAGCCATTTTTAGCATTTTAAGACAGTTTTTGAAAAGTTCAAAAAGTCGTCAAAATTGACCAAAATGGTAAGGGGTAAGCCTTACCATTTTGGTCAATTTTGACGACTTGTTCAACTTTTCAAAAACTGTCTCAAACGCTCTAAAATGAAAGATATTAGTCTTAGGAAGCCATTTTAGCATTTTAAGACAGTTTTTGAAAAGTTCAAAAAGTCGTCAAAATTGGCCAAAATGGTAAGGGGTAAGCCTTACCATTTTGGTCAATTTTGACGAATTGTTCAACTTTTCAAAAACTGTCTCAAAACGCTCTAAAATGAAAGATATTAGTCTTAGGAAGCCATTTTTAGCATTTTAAGACAGTTTTTGAAAAGTTCAAAAAGTCGTCAAAATTGACCAAAATGGTAAGGGGTAAGCCTTACCATTTTGGTCAATTTTGACGACTTGTTTAACTTTTCAAAAACTGTCTCAAAATGCTCTAGAATGAAAGATATTAGTCTTAGGAAGCCATTTTTAGCATTTTAAGACACTTTTTGAAAAGTTCAAAAAGTCGTCAAAATTGACCAAAATGGTAAGGGGTAAGCCTTACCATTTTGGTCAATTTTGACGACTTGTTCAACTTTTCAAAAACTGTCTCAAAATGCACTAAAATGAAAGATATTAGTCTTAGGAAGCCATTTTTAGCGTTTTAAAACAGTTTTTGAAAAGTTCAAAAAGTTGTCAAAATTGACCAAAATGGTAAGGGGTAAGCCTTACCATTTTGGTCAATTTTGACGACTTGTTCAACTTTTTAAAAACTGTCTCAAAACGCTCTAAAATGAAAGATATTAGTCTTAGGAAGCCATTTTTAGCATTTTAAGACAGTTTTTGAAAAGTTCAAAAAGTCGTCAAAATTGACCAAATGGTAAGGGGTAAGCCTTACCATTTTGGTCAATTTTGACGACTTGTTAAACTTTTCAAAAACTGTCTCAAAACGCTCTAAAATGAAAGATATTAGTCTTAG